CTTCTCCATATAAACTTATTAGTTTATATCACCTAAGTGCTTAGTTTATATCACAATAAGTGCTAAATCACTTATTAGTTCCAGTTTGCAAACAAAGTTTAGTTTGGTTTGCAAAGAAAGACAGTTTTATTTCTCCCTTCCCAATCAGTATACCTTTTATTTCCTTTTCTTGCCTTATTGCATTAGCAGGGACTTCTAGTATGACACTGATAAGGAGTGGTAACAAGGAGTGGTACAAGGGAACATCCTTCCCTTTTACTGATATTAGTTGGAAAGCTTCTAGTTTCTCTCCACTAAGTATGATGTTAGCTGTAGGTTTTTTGTAGATAGTATTTATCAGGTTGAGGAAGTTTCCCTTTATTCCTAGTGTACTGAGTTTTTATTATAAATGTGTATCAGATTTTGTCAGATGCTTTTTCTGCAAGGATTTTTATTTTTAAAAGTGAGTTTTTAGGCTGTGATGTGGAGTCCAGAGAAGTTTCTGTTTTAATAGATTTACGACTCTTCATTATTACAAAGTCTCAGTAAGAAGGCCAAGGCAGGAAAAGAGGAGGGTTCGATATGGAAAGGTAGATTTCTATAGGGGAAGAAAATGAGTTTGGAAGATGAGACTCCTGTTTTTGTTTTGTGGGTTAAGTGTCACTAACCAGGGCTTAGTCAGGGTTATGAAGAAGTGGTCTTCGGTCTATGCATATTGGTCCAATGTGATGGTGAATATATGGGTGTAGTAAGGACATCATTAAGGACAACTAATACTTACCTAGCAGCTGAAAGGTTTAATTAATAAAGGAAATAAAGAATTCTTATATTTTATAGTAATTCCAAGTTTACAATTTGCTGGAGATAGCTATCATTTTCTCCATTAAAATAGTAATGACAGTAGTGTCTCCAGAACACTGAGTGGCTTGATGGTGGCCGTACCACTGCAATTGCATTTTCATTTCATGCCACTTTGTCTGTACCTGTCTTCACAAGCTGGCACTACCGAAGTGGGGCAAGTTCTATATCTATCAGCTATATCTTTGTGTATATCATTTGCACTTTTCATATTACTATTTCAACATTTGCTTTAAAATTGGAGCAAGCATAACACTCCATCACACCCTCATACCATGTGCATCTGCAGAGCTGCACAGCTTTAAACCCAGTGGGGAATCTCTGGATTCCCTGTGGCCAACTTAACTTGGTAAAGCCTAGGATCATCTGAATTTCCATTACTTTATTGGTGCACCTCCTTAATGATATGGCTTAATTTGCATATCAGGAGTGCCTTTTCACCACAGGTGAGTAATTGAGACATTCAAGGTCAATTAACTGCAAATGTTGCAAGTCAGGTTAGTGCAGCCTTAACGGTGAGTGATGTGGGGCGGAGGGAGCGGTCAGCGAGAGGCTCCTTTGCTCCTGATGAGAATTGACGATCCAATTTCAGCCCACCGGAATCATGCTGATTCTTTTTTCCTCACTGTGTTTCTCTCTTGTGTTCTCTTTTTTAAGTACTGGTCTATAGAAGAGTGTCAGGATGTCAGACAATTACTATGAAGTTCTATATTAAAAAAGGTATCCTCATTACTAACTTTAGACCATTAAAATTAACTAGAAAGGGCAAGAAGCAAAATAACCAGCATTTTCTCAGTGCTATAAGCAGATACAGATAAAATTCCAAATGTTGAAATGTCAGGTTACGGTGATGGCTGGCTGGGGTCACTTCATGCACTCTTTCAACTTTTGTATTAAAAAAATAAAAGACAAAAATACAGAGAGATAAGCAGTTGTAGCAGTAAGAGGGCTGAGGATGCTTGGTTAGCATCAGACCCCAGAAGGCTTTCAACTTCTGAACTCTTGGTAGGCCCTGTGGCACCATTGTAATGTTAGATAAGACAGAACAGGGAAATAGTTGCCCATTCACCACTCCTACCAAGTGTCCATACTTCAAAGACATGGTCTTTTGTTAACTCAGGTGGGGGAAGTTGACATCCTGCCTGGTGGCTGAATCCCAAGGTTCTCCTACCCCTGTTAGCACCATATTTTCCATATCCATTGGAAACTATTAATTCCCTTTATGCATCTTAAAATATGGGAGGCACCCTTTTGTCCTAGTTAAGATGCTCTGCAGATGTGGGCAAGATGTGCAGATTCTCTGCATATGATATATCGTCTACTCAATCGGTTGCTTTGAAAACTAAATGACACTGGCCTCACACAGTGTCTGACGTAAAATACTCACTTGCTCAATAAATATTAAGTAAAACTAGAGTAAAATAAGTGGAAAAGGTAGGGTGGAATTTCATTACATCTTGAGAAATGAAAGATGGAAAAAGAATTAGCTAAGCTTTAAAAATAATGCCGTGAGAATAGTTCCCATAGAGGGTTCAAGAATTCCCTGAGTTATTTGTGGCAGATCATTCGAGAACAAATTCATATAGAAAACAGACTGCGAGAGTAGGAGGTGCCCCTTGTGGACCGCAGAGCCATGCTAGATCAGTGACACCAGACACCCCAAACGCAGCCAAAGCCCATTGCTTAAAATATGAGAATATCCTACTCTAACCTAAACATGGGAGATGGTATTGGTGACCAAGAGAACTCCACCTTTCCAAGTAATTGGCCAAAACCACAGGTTCTTTGTCGGTGTAAAATACACTGACAAAAATTGTAGTATGTATAAATATTTTGGATCAGAAAAAGGAGAACATTGTACTTTTGATGTAGGGAAGGGAAGACACTTTTGAATGATGATTCACTCCAAGAAAGGAGGAAATTTGAAAAAAAGTATTCAGTTCTGAAGACAATATAGTAAGTAATATTAGGAATCATCCCCTGATATAACCAGGAGTTCATGTTATACTGTGAAGAGAGGATATTGTTATAATATAACTCTTTTTAAAAATGCTATCTTGACTCAGTTTTGAGAAGCTGATTATATCTATAGTCCAACCTTTACTGGACTTATACCCTCTACAGCCAGTATACAGCAGCCCAATTGCCCTGGGGCCTGGTACCAGACTAGGGACAGCCTATGCCCTAGTGCCCCTTCAAATTAGCCAGAATGCAAGGAGCCCACAAAACCTCGCCAACCCCACCCCACTTGCGATCCATAAGCTGCCCCTACGGCTCCAGGCTGACACTTTTTCTGTGGGTCCATCTCCCTGTCTGGCCCTGTCTGGCAGTCTTTTCTTCGGAGCTGTAAAATAGTTCTTTTCATCTCTCAGAGTGTCATTGTGTTGTGTCTGCCATCAAAAGAGTTTTAAATCTTATAAAACAGTTGTTAACACAGATGTGTCCCTGTAGGTTTTACAATGATATGTGCTGTACCATAATAGCAACAATTTATTGGGTATCTCTTTGCACGAGGCTTGTGCTCAAGGTTTTATGAAACAGGGCACAGATGTCAAGAATAGTGCTTGAATAAAAACTGCATATAAATTAATGATACTCTGTATCTAAAATGTCAGACTTTTTTATCAAAGCCTCAAGGTGGGTAGCCAAAGAATGGGGGAAGGAGACATGTGCTAATATTCTTATTTGGGGTGTTATGTAATAGATGTTGCATTTTTGTATTTATTTTTTATTAAGGTACTATTGATATACACGCTTCTGAAGGTTTCACATGAAGAAGCAATGAGGTTACTACAGTTACCCATATTATCAAGTCCCCACCCACACCCCAGTGTAGTCACTGTCCATCAGTGTAGTAAGATGCCACAGATCCACTATGTGCCTTCCCTGTGCTACACTGTTCTCCCCGTGACCCCCACACCATGTGCACTAAACATAATACCCCTCAATCCCCTTCTCCCTCCCTAGATGTTGCATTTTAATAGATATTGAATATTAGATAATTATGGATTCAAGAATTTGTTAAACCCTATTTCATGACTTTTATAATGTAAGATTGTATATTATGCAATCAGCAAAGTCAGTATTAATTTAAGTAAATTCCCCAAATAAGGCATTATTATATTAAACTGGGAGAATGAAACAGCTTTATAAGACACATAGTAGTCACATTTATAATATTCTGGTGGGCTTTGGATAAAGGAAAAAGTAAATTCTGCTGTGGCCATACTTCCTTGAGGGTACAACAGGCTCCTATTTTTCACTTCTGAGTGCTCAAGGGCAACTTACTCTGTGATCTTTTCCTGGACTCTCCCCTTCCCCATCCATTCACCCACCCTCCCCACCACCAGATCGGATAGAATCGCCGATGTGGGATTGGGTAGGGTGGGAGTGCGTGCTGATTTGTAGAGTTTGCCAATTTCTTTGATTTAAATACTCCTACTATAGCCAATTGCAAAGATGGCTGTATTTACCAATAAATTCGTAAAATTCTTGAACATTTAATCATCTCTCATGCACGGTTGCAAGCCTGCTCCAACCTGCCGCTGGACAGAACTCTCGATCGTTTCTTGTATTATCGTTCCCTGCATCTGCCTCTCCATTAACATTTTGTGTTTCAAACATGCTTTCAATGTCTATTCCTCCTGTGAGTCTGTAAACAGAGCGAGAGGAGGGACTATTCCTTGACGGTCTTTGTACTCTCAGGTCTGATGCTGCACTTCCTCCTCTAAGGAGGCTAAACATGGTCAGACATCAAAGGTGGTTGTCAAGTCGGCCGAGCGTGAACAATGACTGAAGCCCGAGTCGTTGCCCGATCATGGGTGTGGGCCAGCAGCAGACTAGTTCCACGTTGACCATGAATGTTCCCTGTATCGAATTAAGCACTTTATAAACATTCAGCGAGACCCTTAGTTCTCACCAGTGTCAGGAAGTTGTAACACCTAGAAACGAATGTAATTAACAGAGGCGCCATCTATTTACACCGAATTCTTGTTTTTCTATGTTTTTCTACAATTATGTGCTGTTTCATACTTTGGAAATTTGACTTTCTTAAGTACCAGAGAGGAATACAGTCTTATTGGCATTTCTAGTCCACTAACCGATTTTTTTTTTTTTTTTACTAATTCTTTGCCAATTTTCTCCTGTTTTTGTTTTCACAAAAGGAGCTGGTGGCTGGTCTCCACTTGTGTCGAACAAATACCAGTGGTTGCAGATAGACCTTGGGGAGAGAATGGAGGTCGCCGCTGTGGCCACCCAAGGCGGATATGGGAGTTCCGACTGGGTGACCAGCTACCTGCTGATGTCCAGTGACAGTGGCAGGAACTGGAAGCAATATCGACAAGAGGACAGCATCTGGGTATGTTTCTTAACAGAATAACATGTAGCCTCTCAGGGAAAGAAGTGCAGTCATCCTGCATGTTGTTCATGGACTTACTTAGCTTAAAAGTGAGCTAAACTGAGAAACAGAATCTTCAGAGTTACAAAACATTTTTTGAGAAAAAATGTTCATGTTCATTTTCTAATACAATTCATGGTATAATTTATGAAAATGCTAAAGCTAAATTTCTTTTAGAGTCCTCAGAAATTGAAAAAAATCTTAGTCCACTAAATAGTGGGGAAGTCCAAGAAATAAGCAACACCTGTATGAAAGATTTTAAGTTTTGTTCAATAACAGTGGTTTTTTGTGGTCTTTATTTAAGATGGGTCAAGATAATTTCTTCCTTTTATTTCTTCTGATGATTCTGAGACTTCTGATAGCTCCCTTTGTAGTATATGGAGATTTTTATGTATAATACTTAAGAGTATTTATATATAATACCTAGAGTATGTGTACATATACATAAATGTGATTTATGTATAAACCATTCTCTAGTCTTTTTAAAGTTTTTGTGTAGAATGCTGTGTGTTGTGGACAGGTGCACAATGAGAGACTGACGAGGAGGCAGTTTATAATTAAGTGGGTGGTATTTGTAGTTGACTGACTGTATATAAACACCTGTGGAGGAAGGACGCGAAGGGAAGTTTGCTTGATGGTGAGGAAAGGACTGCTTTGTTAGCACAGAAAGTATGTATTGGTTTGGGTCTTATGTGGGCCAGGGACAACACACTGCAAGCAAAGAAGTACTTTTTTTTTTTTTTTTTAAATTTTCCTCTGGCTGAGCTGCTGTAACCAGAGAAAATGAGTAACTTAATGAGGCATCATTCTTAGCACAGATAATTTGGAGCCCTGTTTGGGCACATAATGATAATTTTCTTTGATCAGTCAATTGCCTCTCTTTTGAAACTTCTAAGAACTCCATTGTACATTATAAATTCATTGAAGAAATGGACTGTGATTTACTCACCTTTGTATCTCTAAACCACTTGGTGGCCATTCAGTGCATGTTTATGATGTAAATTGAATTGAGAAGAAGATCTGTTTATTCTCTAGAGTGAACAACGGTTGGGCTGGAAGAAGTTGCCTATATGCACTTTTAAGAAAAGCTGCCTTAAAATCCAGAGCAAGTTGAAGTTGTGTGCAAGAGTGAGAAAAATTGGACATTATGGTTGAATTAAATCCATGAAAACCATTCAAACTAGGGATAAAGTAAACAGTAATTATGAACCAATAACAATCAAAGCTTAATGAGGTATTTATTTAACTAGGTATTTAGATTATCTTTTACTTTTTTTAAAAAATAAGCATTAGATTTTAAACTAGGTCAAGTAGTGGCTAATTCATGCTAAAATTTAGCTGCTTTGTGTTAAGTAAAATGTGTGTTTTTGACACTTTTAAAATGATAGGTCAACCGTGAAAATGAATTGTGTGTCTGTTAATCAAACTTGGGGAAAGCCAGACCTAGATAGTGCCCTTTGCCTTTTTTGTTTACTCTTATTAAACGTGAGATAGTTGGGGAAATAGTGGCATGAAAGATATTCTTAATTAATCCTAACAAGTCAGTGTAAAGACAAATGGTATCGATTGTGATTTCCTGTCAAGGTAATAATATTTTTTGACTCTGCTGGGATTTGTTGGTTTATTCTCTGTCTTTTCTTCTTGAGTGTGAATACCTTCAAAATAGAGGCTGTACCTTACAACCTTTCATCTCAACATCCTCAGACCTTAACAGTACCTGACATGGTACAGGCAAATACTAAATGTTTGTTGAATAAATGAAAGAGGAAATGAATGAATAACAGAAATGCACTTTCATGTAGGTTAGTTTTATGATTGCTTACAGTGATTCACTTCTTCCCCCATCAGCTCTGTCTTTTGGTGCATTTATGTTGTACCTGTTTAATATACTTAGAGTTAGAATGTTTCCTTTCTCTCTCCCCTCTAAATCTTGAGCTTTTTTATGAAAAAGGTTTATGTTTTTCATGTTTGCATTTCCAGCATTGGGTAACACCCAATGTGGCACATGACATTGAGTGAATTAGTGAAAAAATTCAATGAATGAATGAATGAATGAATGAATGGATTCGAATACATTAATCTACTAATATGTTCCTAACTTTGTACAAAATTCTGGGAGGTATTAAAAGAGTTCATGTTGATGTCATCAAAAAGATAAAGCACATTAGAAAAACCAGAGTGATTCAGAGGAGTGTGGAAATATGGGGTACAGACTACTAGAGATTTGAAAATTGACAGAATATGGATATCACTGTAGACTGAATTTGTCAAAAAAGTAAGGCTTATGTGGGTACTGCAAAAAACATTATAACTTAGATATGTAAGAATTAAGAAGCTGTTCCATGAAGTTGGAAAAGTGTGAACAAAAGCATACATATTAAAGTCATCCAGAAATAGTTTTTTATGTAATAACAAGGGGACTTCTGATCAGAATAGACCGTCAAGTTCAGAATAGTTTAGACAATACTCTTCGATATGGTAAAGTGTAATTCCAGGGGGAAATAAGTTCCCAGCCTGGGACAAATTACCTTTGAAGCCGAAATCAGTCAAAGGGAGAAATCAAGTGGGAGAAACCCATTTGTTGCCAACAAGTAGTTGTCCATTTCTGCTCTCCCATGTCTCTTGCAACCTGGCTGCAAAAGGGGGCCCCACCAAACCTCTCCAGTCCAGATACACCCTTGCTCCCTCCACCCTTGTAGTCACCTGTTGATATGGAGATGGACCACTTCTCTCCATCTCTTGGAAATGCCTATTGGTATGGAGATGCACTAAGGCCACGTGAGAGATTTTGGAAATACTGCAATTTTACCCACATAAAGTTGATGGATAACTTTAAATGTTAAGATCAACATTAAGACTTGGTGCCGTGACCACATAAAATAGGTGATGTTATGGTGTATATAAGAGAACCCCAAAATCCAAACCTCCCTGCAGTCACTGGTACACATACACACACACACAGACCTACATACACACTCATGCTACCTGTTCATCCCAGGTAGGCTGCAAAGTTCTCTTCTACTCAGTTGCTCAGATCCCACTCTGAGAGATGTGCCCTTTCTGTGAATCTACAGTTGCCAAAGCAGCAACAATGAAACGTGGTGAATTTTACCCTGGTTTCTGACATTTTCACCTGGAAATAACACAGGTCTCTTCAATTTGATTTTTTTTAGCCAAAGAACAATTTTTAATTGATGTATGTAGTAAGGAATTTAAACCTCTGTCACATTTTACAAATATGTATTTCTAACTTCTTCTTTTTTTGGTATTTTTTTTTGCCTAGTTTTTCTTCATATTATGGGATGTATACAAATTATACAAAACATGCCAATTTGCTTTAAGAGCTTCACATTCCATTCTAGATGATACAAATAAATCTGTGAAAGAGAGTTAAGAAACATAAGGCATTATGCAAGTGTGTGATGGAAAAAGGAAGAAAAGTCAATTGTTACGAGTTTAGAAACAAATAAAATGAAACCCATCAACATGGATTGAAATACTGCCATAAAGAACCTCATCCTCCCCTCATTTGATCCCCATTGTTCAAACTCTGGAGAGAACAATGACTTCTATCTACCTGAAAGAATTAATAAAATGTCCTGCTGCTTCTTACAAATAATCTTGAGAAAGACTAAATGTTTTATTTATTATCTGAACAGGTCGTGCATATGTTTAATAGAACTGTAAACTTGACAGATTGATGATATTTTAAGAAATTACATGTTAAAACATTTCTTTCAAATAAAATTTATAGTCCAGTACCCATAAATGTAATTTATACAAAGTACTGTACTAGATGACATGTAAATATTTTACGAAAAAATTAGAAAATGCAAGCCACTAAAATTATTCCTCTTGAATTGAAGATAAAAGCCCTCAACAACATCTACAATCAAAAGAGTTTTCAGCCAGTTTATTGTAAGTGATTGAAAAAGTAAATGTAAGGTATAATTTTCACTCATCTAAGAACAATTGCTGAAACATCTTGAAACTAAAATCTTAGGAATTACTTTTAAGTAAATCATCCTGTGCAGGAACTTTACAGCTCAATTATCCAACTTGTCTCTGATACATGAATCTGAATGCCCAACATTCTTTCATACTGCAGATTGTAAGGGCAAGGAGAGGTATGGTGCCCATGAAAGGATATTTAAGTAAATATAATTGTTATATACAAGGATAGTTTATGTTTTTTTTAATGAATTTCATTTGTCCTTGATTTTTCAAACAGGAAAAATCCTTTACCATATTTCTAAAGTTAGTATAACTGCTTTTGTTTTTTTAATTAGATGTGTTTAATGTCACAGTTCTGGGTTTGGCTGGTGAGAAACCCACGGCCCCTGTGGCATTATAGTCAATTAAGGGCTGTATCACCTGTCACAAGCCATTCATGCCATTTTTATCACTGTGAATGATTGAGTTGTCAATTCTCTAAGCCAAACAGGGCAGAAACACTACTTGCAAAGATTTTACCATGTATTGTTTCAAGTCAAATGAATAAGTGGCTGGGGAGTGTGAAAGAAAACCTGAGGCAGAAATCGGAGTGGGAGGTGTGCTGTAAGCTTGGTGGACTCCCCACCTTGCTAGGCATGTCTTTCCTAGCCCTTCCCTTCTGTTCAGTCCTTATCCCAGGGACCTACGCCTGCAGAAATCATCTGTGGTGATATAATGTACAGCAGTACCAATGTCATGTATGTCAACATGTCAAATTATTGAGGTTTAATGCATGGCAATACTTGCCTCAGTACTTGGGCAGAAATCAAGAGAATGCTTTTAGCTGCTTCTGTCTTCAAGACTGCCTCTCCTTGAGAGCCAAAAAAGACATTTTTAATGGAAGTCTACATTTTTAGTCTGTATCCTTGCAAAATCTCCTGTTTATATTTCTATTAACTGTGAGTTCTTCACTCTTTTGAAAATGATTAACCTAGTCATGCATAGTTAAATGTGGCGGCTTTTGGGTT